GCGAAAACGCAGCAACAGAAGAGGTAATCAATCATCTTCTCAATGTACTTCATAAAATGATCACAAGGAACCCATTCCCAGTGAATATATCCATCATTTTTACAAAAATCACATAGCTTCGTGATCATGTTTGACTTTAAATCCCTCAATGCATTGTATGAAACTACAGCCCTAGCCAAAGCGCTGCCAAGGTATGTTTTCCTTTCTCGTGACGTAGTCGTTTCAAAAGTCTCAATCAAATGAACCAACACCATATTACAATCAACTATTGATTCAGTCAAAAACAGCGCATTGCACGCTAGTTCTTGGACCCTTAAATCTACATCATCAATTGCCTTGAGAAGACAACCGATTACTGCTCTGGTCGGCGCTTTTTCACCAATAGCGCGAAGTGCCCTGCCGGCTGCGTATTGGGTACGTGAAAATCTATTTGAAGAGTGCTCACGTACTATATTGATAAGAACATTGATTACCTTTTCTGTTGCTGCTTTTTCGCCCAATGCTCCTAATGCCTCACACGCTGCGTCTTGAACGTATGCATATTTGTCATCACGAAGTATATTGATGAGACTATTGATCACTTTTTCGTTCGCTGCCTTTACGCCCATTTTCTGAAGTGCTAGACACACTGCTCTTTGGGCCTTTGCATCTCCATTATTATGAAGTACATTGAGAAGATGATTGATTACCTCTTCTGTTGCTGCGTTTTCGCCCAATGCTCCTAATGCCTCACACGCTGCGTCTTGAACGTATGCATATTTGCCATCGCAAAGTATATTGATGAGAGTATTGATCACTTCCACCTTCGCTGCCTTTACGCCCATCCTCATAACTACATAACACGCATCTCTTTGAACGTCTACATGTTTATCATTATGAAGTACATTGAGAAGATGATTGATCACCTCTTTTGTTGCTGCTTTCTCGCCAAAATCGCTTAAGGTTTCGTAGGCTGCCACTAGGACGTTTGCGTCTTCATCATCACGAAGTACATGAATCAGACCATCGATTACCTCTTCTGTTGCTGCTTTCTCGCCAATACCGCCTAAGGCTTTGCAGGCTGCCTCTCGAACGTGTGCATCTTTATCATCACGAAGTACTTTGATGAGACTATTGATCACTTTTTTCATCGCTACCTTTTCGCGCATCCAACAAAGCGCCTCGCATCCTGCCTCTCGAACAGTTGAATCATTATCATGAATTGCGTTGATGAAAGCATCGATAGTCTCTGTCGACGGTGTCATTTTGTGTATATAGTGAAGCGCGCAACCCACTGCGCTCCGTTGAAGTGAAAGCTCCTGCTGACGAAGTATATTGTTCATGATAGCACGTATGATAGCTTCGATAAACTCTTTCGTCTCTACTTTGGAATCCATCTTCTCTAACGCATCGCACGCTGCTTCACAGGCATACATTTCATCTTCATTAACCGCGTTGATGAGGAGAGCAGCAATCTTTTCTGCTGCTTCTTTTGTACCTATCTTCGCAAGAGCTTCGGACGCTGTCACTCGGATCACCGGATTGGATTCATGAAGTGCATTAATGAGAAGATCGATTACTCTTTCCGTCGCTGCGCTTTTACCTAGGTTACCAAGCGCTGCGAATGCTGCGTGTTGAACTTCTTTATGCTCATCATGAGCTGCCTTGATGAGAGCATTAATCAGCTCTTTTGTAGCTTCTCTTTCGCCAATAGTGCCAAGCGCTTTGCATACTAGACTTCGGACGTACCAATGTTGATTGTCAGCTATTTTAATGAGAGCATCGATCACCTGTATGGTCTCTGTTGTTTTGCCAATGTTACCAAGGGCCTTCGACGCGGTCTTTATGATACCCCAATGGGTATCATGCAACGCTTTGATAAGAGTATCGATTAACTCTTTCGTCGCTGTTGTTTCTCCTATGCTTCCAAGCACCTCGTACGCTGCACTGCGGATTTCTGAATCTTTATCAGAAAGGGCAGATTGGATTGTGTGGAGAAGTTTTTCAACGGGTTCCGATATAGCTAACTGAGTCAGAATATAGAAGGCAAACTTTCTTTTTTTGTCGATATTGTTGGTGGAAAGGAGTGTACATAGTCTATTCTGTATGTACGATTGTTTTATTACGGATGGCGAACGTTGTAGTGGTTGTAAAAGATGTTGTGTTATTGTCTCTTGTTGCGTGTCCACACATCTTTCTAACCAATCAGAGATTATTTTAAGATTATCAGAGCATTGTGTGTATCCACTTTGATCGAGTATCTCATTTGTGCATTCAATGATGAGTGTTGCATGTCTCAAACCGATGAGATCTGACGGTTCACCGTTTATGGTGTTCCAAAATGTTTCCCTGCAGGATTGTTCCGATTCTTGCGCAGTGAGACCAGCTGCGAAAATAAATACTGACAGAAAACGCTGGTTGTATTTGTACTTGTTTATAAAGTGTGTTGCAGACTGCTTCTTCTCCTCTGAACCTTTTAGAAGGTTCACTAAGTGCCGCGCTGCAAAATTCTCTTGAAAGCTAAGATGGAGGAAGTAATGCTGCTGCTGTGTTGGATTATGCTCCCCGATTATCCTGTCGTCATATGCTTTCAAAATGCCAAAGTTCAAAATTGATTCATTGTCGTATATTTCACGATGGAGCGCTGTTTTTGTTTCTTGTAGCAGTTTCGGAGAGATGATACTACTGTGTGACTCCATCGCGCTGAAAGCCACGCACTCTAAAAATTCCAATTCTTTTTTGCATTGTTCAAAAACACTATGTGGGCTTTTATCGTCTTTATCATCATGTATTCTTCTCAAACGTCGTCGGCACAACCATTCTATCATCTTATCATAAAGTACGGTTAATGTTACAGCGTTCGTTTTGAGCCAATTAATATTACACCAAGTGCTACAGATCACTTCGAGATTTACGGGAATATGAGCTACACCCCAAATATTCGGATTGGACTTCAAGAATTGTAGAATTTTTTCTGTTTCTCCCGATGAATTGATTGCTTTGTTTGGTATTTGATCGAAGAACAATTCAACATACTTTGTAATATTGTCATCTGTGAATCCTATTATTTCCACATTGACCTTATATGGCAACTGGACAGAATATGGACGAGACGTCAAAATATGGTGCTGTGTCTCGCGAATATGCTCGAATACATCCTTCAAATGAGATCCAATGTCCTGAGCAAATTCATCATACCCGTCTAATATCCAAAGAACTTCGTTGTTGGTACATAATTTTTTGAAATATTGCACTTCCTCCTCCGATATATCGTTACAGGGAAAACATTCCTTTTTGACTATATCAAATGGTGTATATTCTTTAGCGTTTGGGTAACGATCCTTGGTCAAACTTCTTAAAGGAATAAAAACAACAAGTTTGTATTCACACCACAGATCATTTTTCGCCCACTGATAAGTAACATATTGGCAAAAAGTTGATTTTCCGATTCCTGCTCGCCCAAGTACAAGTACTTTTTTCGGTTGATCTTTGCATTTTCGGAAAACATCCTTGACGTCGATAGGGATCTTAACGCCATAGATTCTTTCGAAGGCAATAAGAATCTCATCTTTGTGTTGTTTCGAACGTGGATCCTGCTCATTTTCTTCTTCTCTCATCTCTTGATTCTGTTGTTTCTCAAGTGTCTTTTCTTTTTCTGCCTGTTCTTCCGTTTCAACGATAGCCAAATTCACATAACTTTGTTCCATAGGGACAGTTTTTGCTTCGTTTACTATACGTTTGATTGTATTGTTTCGTAGGTATTTTTGTATGATGTGAAGCCTCACTAACAATTAAAAGGTTTACATTTCAATTATAATGAATTTTTATCCAATCATGAGCAAAATAATCTTTCTGATGCACTGCTAAGTCAGTAGACAACTAAGTACTCATTGATTATAGAGTATACTTATTAATAAAGAAATTGTCTAATATGATTTCCTTTTTATTAGCAAGAGGGCTATCGACTCTGTAGTGTCAAACTTGAAAGTTGAATTCAATTATTCAACTATTCGTTCAATTTTCACGTGGCACATACCGAACAAACTCCACCATGGGGATCGCAATCCAGTGATTTCTGTGCCGGTCACAAGTCCGAAAAAAGGAGGAGTGTTAGACGGAAGGAGTGCAGATACCGCCGTCTGTCAAAAAGAAAAGACGAAAGAAACCAACCATGAACGATCATAATCAAAAACCATACCGGCTCGGACGTCGCCCGGGTGAACAAGGTCCGCGTCCTCTGTCGAGTAACCAGGACAGAATCGAAAAATTGGCTACTGGAAAGACACGAACAACGACAGAAAAGAATAATACAAACAAAATGACTGCAGCAACAACATCAAAGGAAAAGATTGGTAAACAACAATGGAAGATAATCTTAAAATAATCTCT